TCTACCATCCAATTAATCAACATCTCAAATTTCTTATATCTCCCAAATATTTCTTTACTCTGTTCCTTGCTCTACATCCATATTATGACTGATTTAAGTCAATGGCTCATAATTTCAAGTTGTCATAATTGTCTCCTAATAGGTCTCCTTGCCTCACATATCCCCTTTTAGTCCATTTTCTACGTGTCTGACAGAGTGATTATCCTAAAATACAAATAACTCCCCCGAGTCAGTATATAAATAGTAATTGAAGCCACTGGAATTGCTGAGCATCTAGGTAAGGAGTATAGATCTATAGTTTCCAAACAGTGTGCATGAGAATCACCTGAAGAACCTATTTAAAACATAAATTATTGGGCCCCATCCCAGTTTCTGATTAAGTGTGATGATTAGTTTTGTGTTAACTTGGTTAGGAGTGTAGGAACCTCATAGTTCAGAGTCTGACATCAAGGTGTCAGCAAGGTTACTTCCTTCTAGAAGCTGAAGGATAATCTGTTCCATGCCTCTCTCCTACCTTCTGGTCATTACTAGCAAGGACATTCCTTTGATTGCAATTGCATCACTCCAATCTGCATCTCTCTTCACAGATTCTCCCCCATGTACCATTCCCATATCTAAATCTCTCTCTCTCATAAAGATACTAGTCATTGGATTGAGGGTCCACACAGATACAGTAAGACCTTAATTTGATTATATCCATAAATACTATTTCCAACTAACATTACATTCACGTACCTATCATTGGAACTTCAACGTATCTTTTCAGGACAGAGTTTAACTCACAGAACATGGTTTTGGAGAGTGGAGAAAATAAAGAGCCACAATAAAGTTGGCAGGCAGTGTTGAGTCCAGAAGGGACTGAGAATTTAGAATAACACCAATCTGCATGGGTATGAGTGAAATGGGTGATCATGGAATTTGAAATGGGGGGGGGGGGAAAGTTATGAAAGACGAATTATAAGGGGAGTGGACTTAAAGTCCTGAGGATTATAAACACTAGCAACAAGTTGGGAAGCTTGGGGATTCTAGTCCCCGATTTGGTGTTTGAATTTGTCATTATATAGAGAGATGAATTGGTCAAGAATACTGAGACAGCCCTAGCCAGATTGGCTTAGGGGACAGAACATCAGCCTGAGGACGGAAGGGTCCCTGGATCTATTCTGGTCAAGGGCACATGCCCGGGTTTCGGGCTCAATCCCCAGTAGGGGGCATGCAGGAGGCAGCCAATCAATGATTCTCTCTTATCATTGATGTTGCTATCTCTCTCTTCCTCTCTGAAATAAAAAACATATATATTTTTTTAAAAAAAATACTGAGACACAAGTGTTTGAGGTGGAAGTGGGAGAGGTGAAAGGAATGATGAGACACAGAACTATGTGGCCAAATATTTTAAGGATTCTTCACTTGGACATCAAAATTTCTTGGGAACTTCCTAGGATTACCAATGATAGAGATGAGTCAATATAATGTGACCAAGAACAGTAATGAAGACAATAATTTTGGGTGTCCACTTTAAAGGTACAAGAGTGTTTTTTGTTTTTCAATTGATAGTATTAGATATATTATCTCCCATCCTCACCCCCCCCCCCCACATTCCTCCCAGCCCTTATTTAACCCCACTTCTCAGGTCTTCACTACCCTATTGCCTGTGTCCATGGGCTATGCATATAAATATGTAAGCTCTTTGGTTCATCTCTTCTCATCCTCCCAACCCCACATCAAGGTATGTCAGCCTGTTCCATACCTGCAAGGATTTTTGTATATTTAATACATATGAATGAAGGAGCAATGATCTAGAGATGGCATAGGAAGCAGAGAACCTAAAGCCAACAACTGATTCTGGGTCTCATAGGAGGGTACCAGAGTATATAGCTAATACATTTGCTAATACATTTGAATTAAAATCCTTATCACTCTTTTTACTTATAGAATCAAGAGAAACATTAGGTCTGGGTAAGAATGCAGATCATCTTTAATGGGAAAGAGAATCCTCCAAATGGAATTACCTCACAGATGCAAGGCCATGCCAAATGCACTTCTGGTACAAGTGCCAACAGCACAGCCAAAGGAACAGTCACAGGATACACACATGGCCAGGGCCCATACCTATGGTCTAGGAACAGTGTTCAGACAAGTGGGGAATGAGTCATAAGCTGAGCAGACTGATGTTGACTTTAATATTTGTATTCAAAAGTGCCCTATGGAGACTTTGGAAGACATACCAGTACCATTTTTTTATGGTAAAATATTCTAATTTTATTCAGCAAAATTCATTTTAATATGTTTAAATTATGGTAGGGAATAGTAGAAATGTCAAGTGCCTGGATCGGAAAAAGCTTTGCTCTGCTGATTGTCACCCAAGGATAAAAAATGGAAAGGTCAAGGAAAGCAACATGATCCAAGAAAAATTAAGGGAATATTTGGAGAGCAGCTTCACAAACATTTAATCATGTTAGTAAGAGAAAAACCTTAAAATAGGCAAAGAACATTTGAGGACTTCATACATGATTCAGAAGGGAACAGGAGACTCGTTTTAGGCAGAACATGTTTGTAACATTACGAAGTTGCTCTCAAGTTTTAAACTGCATTTTCATAATACTGCTATTATTCCACACATGGTGAGAGTCAAGCATGGCATATGTTTGATGTAATAGAGACTAAACAGTGGGGCTCAGAGACATTACTGTCCACATCACCTGACTGGACTCCAATCTTTCCAGCGCTCTGCTCCTCTTACACTTCATGCCCTGTTTATCCTCAGGACATGATAAAGGCAGTATTTTGGGGAAATATATTCTGGAAGTGTCATACAGGGGGGATTAGGAAGGAAGGAGCTGAGAGACAGGAGGCTGCTGCAATACAGGTTGCAAATGCCACAGGTGAGACTGGAGGAGGTTGATCAGAAGCATCAGAAGACAAGACAGGACCTGATCAATAACCTGGGTAGAATGAGGAAGGCAAGAAAACTAGGAAGCATAGGCAAAGCAGGTATCATTAAGCCCATTTTATAGAGGAAGAAATCAAATCACAGAAAAGTTAAATGTTTCACAAGTAGTATGTGGCAAAGCTACAACACATAACTACACCTCCACTCTTCCACTACAACTTCTCCATAGAGCTCTTACACAAAAACTTGGGTCAGGATTAATGTCATTTTTCAGGTATTTAATTAAACTGATGAGGCACTGTTTCCTTTCTTATAAGATGACTTAGCTGAAGGGTTGTTCTGCCGAGTAAATAAATGTATGAAAAGCATGCAGCGTAGTGCCTAACACAAATGTTAGGTTCCCTGCCCCCTTCACATGATAAGGTTCTCTTCCAGGCTGGATAACCTCAACCCTCACAGCACAAGCCTCACTTGAAATGATAAGCTTCCAGAGAGTTAGTTTAGGCAATTTTTATTTCTAGAGTAGAAGTATTTATTTCAGTTATAGAAAAATAACACTATGTCAAGTCAAGGTAACTAAGCAGAAGTCTATTTTTCCTTGTGTACCCATACTCCGATATCACATATGGTTTCAAGACATTCTTAAATTAACAAGGAACAAACGCAGAACCATGGTAATATCTGTCAACAAAAGGGATATATTAAAGCTACATATCAGCCCTGGAAATCAGAAAATACAAAGTGATCTCGTGCAGGGATTCTCAGCTTTGGTGTGTATTAGAATCACCTGGCTAGTGGGAAAAGGACCTCAGGGGCTTTAAAGCAAATCACCAGGTTAAGCAAAAGCCCTTGGTCTCAAAACAAATACAGTACCAAAGGGACAGAAGATAAAAAATTTGTTCCTCAGGAAGGAGCAAAGACAAAACACAGTACAATATATGAGATCAGCCCTTCGTTCAGTGTGTGACTTCTCTGAGCCTTAAATTAAGGAATATTAGGTACTACCCTCAGGAACTGGTCTACAGTTTAGGTCAGACAGTGCCTCCCTAATTCATAACACACAGCAACTAGTATCATTACTTCAATGATTCAGAGGACATTCTCTCCCACCCCTAGTCCCAAATAACTATTATTTATTTTAAAAATCAAATAACCACTCACGGAGTTCAAGCTCATGGACTACTGGTACCATTTTTACACTGGCATCATTTTTACTAGCTTCAACCATTCACTTACTTTAAGATTTCAGTACATGGCTGAAATGACAATTTTACAATGGAAATGGATTCAAAGAAGAAAGGGAACTAAAGCTTAAAAAGTCTGTGTTGCTTCTAAAGCACCAACAGTTAGATGAATGAACTGTTTTTCAAAGTAACTCATTTTGGACAATCACTGGTGTTCTCTGTATTGTTTCTGAAGCAGGTTATTTATTGATGGAAACATGGAAATAAATTATAACTTTCACTTTCTAAATTCTACACACTACACAGTAATGTTTCATAAAGTTTGCTGGCCATTTAAGTAACTACCCACACAAATATCTGAGGTTTAATATTCTGAAACTATAAAACAAAGCCATAGAGGTGCAGTCAGGCTGGGGTAGGGTTTCTCCCCTCAGTAATACTGACATTTCTGTTGGACAATTCTTGTTATGGCGGGTTATCCTGTGCACTGACGGATATAGGCATCCCTGGCCTCAATCACGACATGCCAGCAGCAATGCCCCACCTCCCAGTTCTGACAACCCAAAATTGCCAAACATTGCCAAATGTCCATTGGGGGCAAAAATCACCCCCAGCCGAGAATCACTGAGCTAGAATTTTACGCAGACATGACTGTAAACTGAGTGCACAGATCAAACGCACTATGAAATTTCTCTACTTCAGAGTACAGCACATTAGCTCCTGCTACGCTGCCTATGCTCGGGCAGATAATTTTTATATAATACACTAGTAAGCATACAGGTACCCACATACAACTATCTTCTTTCCTACTGAAACACTGACATTAAACGGAAGGGAAAACCCAGCTAATCCTGCGACCATTTTCATGTTACCTCATAAGGAGAAAAACCTATGGTTTACAAACACTAGCTAAGGGAGACCTAGAGAAATCACTGCAGGTGTCCTTCCTTCTGAATCCGGAGTCTCTCTTTCTCTACTTGTAAGCGTTCCTTTTCAATCTGCAGCTTCTCCGATTCAAACTTCAAAAACTGCAGCCTATCCTTCTCCAGTTGCAAGCGTTCTCTCTCGAGTTTTAACTTCTCTGCCTCTATGTCCTGCGGTTGAAGGATGGGCTTTTCCCCTGGACCGAGTTCGTTTTCCACAGACGGCTTCTCCGAGCTGACGATCTGTAACCTGAGCTTCTCCCTCTCGATCTGCAGCCGCTCCTTGGCCAGCTGCAGCCGCTCGTGCTCCATGTCCAGGTGCCGCAGCCGCTCCTTCTCGATCTGCAGCCGCTCCTTCTCCACCTGCAGCCTCTCGGCCTCGATGTCCAGCCGGCGCTTCTCCAGCTCCAGCTTCTGCTTCTCTATGTTTACAAGCAAGTGGGGCTCATCGTAGGCGGATCTAGAGGGTGTGGAGTTCAGGGTAAAAAACTCATCGATGTGAGGGAAGTCAGGAAGCTCATTTTCCCTCCGGGGATCCGGTATGACCGAGGACAGGATTTCCTCCTCCTCCTCGATCTCAAACTAAAAGAAAAAAAGCAATTTTCAGTATGATTTCTCTCATGATTGTTATTTGTCTAAATATTTCTTAAAATCTTTTCGTATTGTTTGAGGGCATAAAACCATTTACTTTGCATTTTGAATAACTTTGCAATGAATTAGCTGATGTCACTAACCAAAAATTGAGAGAAGCATATATAGGTGAGAAGAAAGAGATGAATGATATAAAGAACCGAAAATAAAATGAGTTTATATTCTATTTTGAAGTTAGCTTGAAAATCTGGGAGCTTCTTAACTGCTCCTGGACTATAATGCACTCACACACCACAGCTGAAGAAATCAAATGACTGAAAGGGCTCGCGGGCTAATACTTACCTCAGGACTCTGGGGATCTCTTTCTTCCTCTTCCACTTTGACCTCAGTTAAGGATCCCCCTGCATCCCTGAAATCTGCCACATTTTGCCAATCAAAATTTGCATCATTTCGGAATCCAATCTTTTCGTCTATCTCTTCTGTAAGAGAGTCATCTAAGTCAGATGAAGGAAGGGGAAAGCCAGAACCAACCAGCTTAATGTTCGCTTTCATCCTCTTTCTCTTCATAAGGGCTCGCCAGTCCAGGTACCGCCTTTTCACTTCGGTGCCCGTCCTCTGCTCCCCCTCTCCCACGGCATTCACACACTGCGCGATCTCCTCCCAGGCCATGCGCTTCATCACGTTAATGGTTGTGTTGAGTTGCTTGGAAAAAATGACTTCTTTCCTTTTTGTAATTTCTTTCAAAAGAGTCTGAGTTTCTTGAACACTAAAATTGCTTTTCCTTTTCCTTTTCAGCTGCTTCATATTTCTAACTTAAAGGCAGTCTTTAATGTAAGAGAAGATAGGATTAGAATTTTAGGAATGCTACAAAGTACAAAAATCAAGGTTCTTTGTTTAAATCAGTTTCTGTTCCATAGCAGCAAAGGCAGGCTGGATAATTCCTAGAAAGAAAAAAAAAGCAAAAGCAATCAACCTATAACTTCTGCAATGTACTTCAACCCACTTAGCTATATAATTTTTTTTTTTTTAACCTTCTAAATATGGCTCAAAACTGCCGACATTTACTTCTGCCCTCCAGTACCAGCTTCTCACCTGGACTTCTGTAATGATTCCTAACTAATTGGCAATATTCACTCTGGATCTACTTCCTACTTCTCCAGCTCCTTCTCCCCAATCCATCCTCTCTAGTCCAACTACACTGGCCTCTTTTATTTTTTTATTTTTATTTTTTTTTATTTTATTGATTTTGTACAGAGAGGAAGGGAGAGAGATAGCAAGTTAGAAACATCGATGAGAGAGAGCCAACGATTAGCTGCCTCTTGCACACCCCCTACTGGGGACGTGCCCACAACCAAGGTACATGCCCTTGACCGGATTCGAACCTGGGACCCTTCAGTCCCCAAGCCGACGCTCTATCCATTGAGCCAAACCGGTCTCGACTACACTGGCCTCTTTTAGTCACCCTTTCTCATCCAGCTCTTTCCTGCTCAGGGAAATTGTGCACGTGTTCCCCTGCCTAGGGATGGACTGCTCTCTTCTTGGCCATTAATTCCTCCTCACGCTGCAGCTCTGGAACTAGATGTCTGTTCCTCAGTGAAACTTTCCCTGGCAAGTCAAATCGCTCCAACAGAAGCTATGGTTGCACACCTTCCTTCCTTGTCCTCGCTAAAGGTCACACTTGTGTTAACATGTAGCCAAGAGTCTCTCTCCCCATTTCACTAAAAGTTTCGTGAGGGTGGCAAGGTTCTGCTCACCATTACCTTCCCAGAGTTTCTGGCACAGGGCAGACATAGCATAAGTAAGTTTTAATGAATGAATGAGCCAATTTGTCAAAATGACCACTAGTTTGAGATATCAAAAAGAAAAATTCAGACTCTGTAGAATAATTTTGGAGGAACATTAAAAGGCTGGCTAAAAAAAATCCATAAAATTCAGAAACAATTATAGACAATGTAATTTGTTCAGAGAAATGACAACTACTTAAATTAAAGCTCATTTTTAGGTTATATCTTTACATAGAATACCAAGCTTATTATAAAATTCCAGAAAACAATAAAACTATTGTAAAGATACAACAGAATTAAAGGGGTAACTTAAAGTGGCAAGCCACTCCACCTAATTAATCAGTTAAAGAAAAAGATCACCAATTAAAGTTTTTAAAAATTATATTCTTAAACTTTGTGGAAACCAATGCACATTTTCATGGTTCCCCAATGAAATTCTGTCCCTCAATGCTCATCACATCTTCTCTCTCCTTTAATCCAAACCACCTAAACAAAAGCTCCTCACATCAAGTAAAACAAAGTTGAAAGCTATATTTGTTTCTAATTAATGCTTTTAATTATTTGCCTTTCTCTGAAGAACTTCTCAGTACCTTACAAACGTCCTAGACCCGTGGTCAGCAAAATGCAGTCTGCGAGCCGCATTGGCCCCTTGAGTTGGCTCTTCCACAAAACACCACGGCCTGGGCGAGTCTATTTTGAAGAAGTGGCTCCACAGCAGCGGCTCTCCCACAGGTTGAGAACAGCTAGCAGGGTCGCCTAAGACCATTGGAAAACAGATATTTATATTATGATTTATTAACAGTAGCAAAATTACAGTTATGAAGTAGCAATGAAATAATTTTATGGTTGGGGTCACCACAACACGAGGAACTGTATTAAAGGGCCACGGCATTAGAAAGGAACTACTGTTATATAATAAAAGGCTAATATCCAAATTGTCCCCTCAACCAGGAGTTCGACCAGCAGGCAGGCCGGCCAACTGCCAATGTCCCCTCCCCGTGGCCAGGCTGACTGGACCCCACCCATGCACAAATTCACACACCAGGCCTCTAAAATACACACACACACACACACACACACACACACACACACACACACACACAGAGTGGCCAGGTTATTATGCATTTAGAGATCATAATAATCTGGCCACTCAGTATAAATATTAGAGGCCTGGTGCATGAATTTATGCACGGATGGGGCCCAGCTAGCCTGGCCAAGGAGAAGGGACATGGGCGGTTGGCTGGCCTGTCTACTAGTCGAATGCACAATTTGCATATTAGCCTTTTACTACGTAGTATATACACTGAGTGGACAGATTATGTATTCAGAGATCATAATAATCTGGCCACTCAGTGTATATCCTGATTCCCTTAGGTTATATCTCCTTCCACTTTATTAGCAGCAGTTTGTGATCCCTAAATCTTAGAAATGCATTGCTAAGTTTTGAGATTCAACTATTTTAGAAGATTTTCAAAAAGAGCAGATTCTAATATATGTGGAAGGTTCTGATAAAGTTCTGTTTATAGGAAGAAAAACACTTCAAAGCTTCAACCAGATAGATTTCACTCTACCATGGTTTCTTCTCTTAATACTTTAATATCAGCCAATTTAAAATTCTTATTAATGTAAAAAATATTCCTCTAGTATTGGCAATTCAAATAATATCTCCTACTGAAGCAAAACGTAACAACTGAGTAAGGTTAGCTAAAGTTAACTGAAAAGTACACACATATTTTTTACCATTGATTGAGTCTTTTCTGATTAGGACTTAAAAGTGAATGCTTATTCCTTATTTCTAAACGTAAGTATTTTTTATTACAATTTCACTGAACTTTTTCAAGTTCCCAGTAATCTCTGTCTAACTGCCTCTATGTATGTAATAACATCACCAGAAAGATGCCACATATCTTTTTGTCTCTAATTACTCATATGGCATAATTATATGAACTGCCACTTGCTGTTGAAATGGAGGTCAGAGAGAACTAAAATTTCAGAAGAGCAGAAAATGAATTCTCAAAAACTCAGTCAATTTCACACTCCTATAAAAAGGGCAAAGCATTCAAAAACAAAAGATTGCAAACAAATCAATTCCAATGTAGACTTCCAGCCCAGCCGGTGTGGCTCACTGGTTGAGCATCCCATCCACCTATGAACCAGGTGGTCACTGTTTGATTTCCAGTCAGGGCACATGCCTGGGTTGCAGGCTCCATCCCCAGGAGGGGGCATGCAGGAGGCAGTCAGTCAATGATGTTTCTATCTCTCATTGATGTTTCTACCTTTCTGTATTTCTTCCTTCCTTGCTCTCTAAATATCAATTTAGCCTGACCGACGTGGTTCAGTGGTTGAGCATTTGATTCCCAGTCGGGCACATGCCTGGGCTGTAGACTTAATCCCCAGTAGGGAGAGTGCAGGAGGCGGCCAATCAATGGTTCTCTCTTATCATGGATGTTTCTCTCTTCCTCCCTTACTTTCTGAAATCAATAAAAATATATATATTTTTAAATCAATTTAAAAAAACATTTAAAAAAAGAAACAAGTAAAAATTATTATACTTTATTTAACCTAATATAGCAAAATACTATCATTTAAATACATAATTAATATAAAAAGTAATGAAGATATTTTACTTTTTTAAAATATATTTTATTGATTTTTTACAGAGAGGAAGAGAGAGGGATAGAGAGTTAGAAACATCGATGAGAGAGAATCATCGATCAGCTGCCTCCTGCACAACCCCTACTGGAAATATGCCCACAACCAAAGTACATGCCCTTGACCAGAATCCAACTTGGGACCTTTTAGCTGCAAGCTGACGCTCTATTCACCAAGCCAAACCAGTTTCGGCTAATATATATATATATTTTATTGATTTTGTACAGAGAGGAAGGGAGAGAGATAGTTAGAAACATTGATGAGAGAAAGTCATCAATCAGCTGCCTCTTGCACACCCCCTACTGGGGATATGCCCGCAACCAAGGTATATGCCCTTGACCGGAATCGATCCCGGGACCCTTCAGTCCCCAAGCCGACGCTCTATCCACTGAGCCAAACCGGTCTCGGCTACTTTTTTTTTTTTTCCATTGTTTTCAAAATCCAGTGGGTATTTTACAGTGCAATTTGGACTAACCACACATAGATTTATGTGGCTATTGGCGACTGTATTAAACAGCACAGTTCCAGCTTTCATGATCCCTGCCTCAGGACTATCATATGCATTCCTTTAGCCCAGCCTCCCAACTCTCAGGGTCTATGCTCTTTTGTCTGGCCAATGACTACTTATCCTCAGCCCTTGTCTTAAATGTCTTTTCAAGATGCCTTCACTGTTCTCATTCATCTAACTCTAACGTCTTTGCTATATGCTTCCACTATCAAGCTGTATTGTATTCATTTATTTTACATTAGAAGCAATAAGGGATCACAGAAGACTATAATACTCAAGCCATTAATTTATAATCTTGTAAAACATGGTACATAAAAAATTTACATGAAAAATTATAATGAAGACTACAAACTGGAAGTTGTGATGTGAATACAGACTACCTAGACTTGTATGTTAATTCCACCATTTATTATCTCTGTGTTCTTAAGCAAATTACTTAACCTTTAAAACCTATTTCCTCATCTATAAATGGGAAAAATAGTAAATTAATATGCATGATGTTTTAATGATTAAAAGAGATAATCCAATTAAGAATCTTACAGTGCCTAAGATATAGCAAGCCCTCAAAAAATACCATCTATTCGCCATTTCCTACTACAGTGTCTGGAAACAGTAAGCAAATAGTTCATTACTGGATGAATGTGAATATATAAAAAGTGCAACAAGAGAAGCACTAACAAAATACACTTGGTGTTCAGAAAAAGTAGAAATGTTTGGTGGGATCAAGGATGTGAGGAGAAATCAGCATTTAATTTGGATCTTATAAAACAAAAAGACTAAAAAGAGACAGTAATAAAGAGGAGAGACTAGGTTGGGGCCAAATGTCAACAAATCTTTACTGCTGGCTTACTAAGACCTTT